AAATGAGAGTATTTTCAGCAAAAATGATGCGATCATTACTACACGGAATTCTTCTTTGGTTCCAATTCTTGGGATTCTTGTAATCCAAGTTTGAGTTCCATGTCTTGACATTACATTTATATACATTCACTAAACTTATTGTAATTACTACAAAAAGAATTAACATGTTTTTAATAATCATGTAAATAAACATAATTGGTTTTAAATCAACATAAACCTAAACAGTATTTAGGACTAAAAATAACACAATGTATAAAAAGTTAATGCGGTATAAGTTATACGGTATAACTTATACCGCATAACAAATTGAAATGTGATATAAATGTTACGACAAAAAATAGATTTATGGAAAATATCAAAATTGTCACAAAAAACCATAAATGAAATTAATATCTTTTCTGACAAACAGTTCATTCAATGGTATTGAAGCAGTAAATTGTTTGTCGCAAACAATTTTAGTCGAAAATAAACATGAAATGCATTATGAAATTAAACACAATGAAAATAATTAATTACATGAGTGCTATAATTCTGATATAAAATCTCTAAATTCAATGTTTCTAATGGTCTTTATTTGATTGATTAACACATTTTTATTAAATAATAAATAAATATTTTATTATTTATTAGACTTCTTTCGCCAATTCCTTCGCGAATGCAATGAAAGCAACAGTGGTTTCTTCGCACACGGGTCTGATGTGTGACTTCGGGAGTGCGAAACCATAACTTCCTGTGTCTCTCAACTCCACGGTATAGGAATATTTTATGTGAGCGCTTCCATACGCCCAGTCTATCATTAAATTATAATGTTATCATTTTAACATATATTTTTAGACAATATCTGACCATCTGCTCCACCGGCGGCCGCATCTGTTGTATTCAAGAGCGATATAAGAGTGAAAATATATTAAATATATAATATTTGCTAATATATAAAACAAATTGATATGACATACAAAGCACGTTAGTTGACGTCCCAGCGGTGTATTTAGTGCCGTAAACGCTGGCCAATGCAGTGGTCGCTACTTTAGCCAAACGAGCCTGATAATAATGTAAATTGTTGTATTTTATTTTATTTACTTAATTTATAAATTACACAAACTTACCAAATGTTTGTCATCGGGAGTCAATGTATTTGTCCAACCCTTTAATTATTAAAGTTTAATATATTGACTGTTAATATATTGATATATTTGTTGTATTAATTAATACTCAAACCCATGGATAGAGAAAGTATTGTCCGTATGAATGAACGGCCAAATAAGCCTTTATCCGGTCTTTATTGCGGAGGACATAATCGGAAACCGCTTTAGTCTCGGGTTCAGAGAAAGCAGACGGACCTCTGTATGTCTCAGAGCCTTAACAATAGTTATAATTATAAAAATTAGTTTAAAAATCCTTAGTTATTATTTTGCTTAAATTTTACATGGATTAGTTGAGGCCCCCTGTCCTCCCCATTGATAGCCAAAGTTTCTGTTGGGATCGGCTCCTAAATGTGTGTTTAAATAATGTTTAAATTGATAGATGTCTAAAAAATGCATGAACAAACCCATGCAATTGCCGTATGGTTTTCTAGTCTTCCTCCACATCCTATCCCTGGTATGCGTGTGTTCATAGCTGTGTTAATCAGTGTTAAATAAGTTGTATTCATAATTATCAAACATAAGTATAGTATTAATTACAATACCCGTCGGGGTTGAGAACTGGAAGAATATAAAAATCAAATTTCTGAAGCAAAGCAGTGATGTCCGAGTTTCGGGCTTTGTATCCCTGGACCAGGTATTGGCCGAAACACTGAGTAGTGGCCGGAGATATCCACTCTCGGGCGTGAATTCCAGATTCAATGAAAATAATTGGTTTATTTTTCTTCTCATTCCCGTCGCCGATGCGAATGATTTTGATGGGTCGGCCCTCATAGGAGGTCCCGATTGTCTCAACCGATGCGATGCCCGTATTTTTGGATACAATCGTATCTAAAAATGAGTGAATTTTGGGAAGTCTTTGATATTCATCGAAATGTCTTTCAACAATATCCTGTCTCTGGGGCTTTGGCTTCAACGAAGGTCGAGCCGCTCTGTCCTCTATTAAGTCACTGTAAATCATATATTAATTATTTATAAAATCAAATGAATTAAAATAATTTGTTTAAGACTTTTCCAAATCTTCAATCAAAACAGTTCTTTGCAGTAATTTGTCCTCAAAAATCTTATCAAACGTATGGTTGAGTTGTGGCGGAATCATCACATCAACAGGTCTGTCAACATATGAGGGACCCCTCCAGAAGTCAAGCTTCATCAACAAGTGATGTGATTATCAATGAGACGACACATTAATTGTCAAAACTTACTTCCATCACATTGTCCTCCAATTCCCGTAAATAACTTAATTGTGATTCAGTGGTTGGCGTCAAACGTATGACTGAATAACCAGTATATCGACGGATGTCTTCATCACATCGAACGCCAAATTGTAAAATAAATTGTAAAAATATTATATAAATTAAATTTAAAAACATTTTTAAATTTAACGCGAATATCAATGTTTAAAAACTTTATGAAGTATTTTATTAAAAGTTTTTTGTTTTTAAGAGACAATTTTATTTTATGATTGTTTCTTTTGTTTAATTTGATATTAATGTTAATTTAATTAAAATCATTAACATTTCATATTTTAATATCTTTGTTCAATTCATTAAATACCAGTTGCTTTATATACGGGTTATCACTAATCGAATTAATCTTAAGGTCAGTAAACTTTGCCAACAATTGACAAAATTATACAAAATATTACAAACGATTTCTTATAATTATTGCAAAGTAAACCAATTGAGTGACAAATGAAATGATTTTCATTTCCAAAAATATTCCCAAAAATAAGTTATCCTTCAAATTGTTAACCCCTATCAATATCTAATAATTGCATATTTACGTTATAGTAATAATTAATAAACATTTACACAAAAATATTTAACTTTAGATTACAGTTAATAAAGTATCACATTTGTATGATTTTGTTACTATTTTTCCACATTAACAACTCAACAACAATAAATATAATTCTATAACTTTATAAGAAAATAATATAAATTTATAACTAAATACAAGAAACATATATTATTTTCATTATCTCCTTCTTATTAAAAGCAAACTCGTATTAAATAAATTATTAATTATTAAAGATTTTATTGATTTTGAAATAATTAAACAATTTTAAAGCTCTTTCTTTAATTCTTTGGCGAATGCGATGAAAGCGCTGGACGTTTCCTCACCAGTCGGTCTGATTTGAGCCTTTGGTAAAGAGAAACCATATGTGCCCTTATCTCTCAGCTCAACAGTATAGGCATATTTAATATTTCCCGAGCCGTACGCCCAGTCTGTCCGCAATTTGATAAAAATACAATTTACTAATATTTCTCATTACAAACAAAAGACTATCTTACCGTCTGCCCCACCGGCGGCCGCGTCTGTTGTTTTAAATTAATCAAAATTAATAAACTTTTCAATTACAAATTAATTATAATTTTTATACCATTACGCCGCATATACTTGCAATGCAATTGTGTAAAGAATGCATTCTATGTAAATATTTGCATATTTTGTAACATGCAAAATATGTAAAATTCACTTTATAATGCCATGCAATTATATGCGGTGTAATGCGGTAGTAAATAATTGAATACATACAGAGGACATTAGTTGATGTGCCGATTGTATACTTGGTTTTGTATTTCTTTGCCAATTCAGCGATTGCTATATTTCCCAATCGATTCTAATATTTGCAAAATAATTAAATGGTTTAATACTAATAACCATTAATTAGATATATATAATGCGCGAATATAAGTAAAGTCAATATTTACCAAATCTTTATCATCTTTGGTCAAAGCGCTGGTATAGCCCTTAGAATTGTAAATATTCAACGTTAAATACAAATAATATTAAAATGAGTTAACAAAATACATACCCAGGGATACAACCAGTACTGCCCGTAGGAATGGACTGCAAAATAAGCCCTCACTTTTGTGCCTAAACTCAACACATAATCCGAAACGGCTTTAGTCTCGGGTTCGGAGAAAGCTTTGCTTCCTCTATAAGTATCGGAGCCTTTAATCGTATAAAATAATAGTATTTATCAATTAATACCTAACAATATTCACACCTCAATATTACTATGGCTTACATGGATTAGTAGAGGCGCCCTCTCCGCCCCATTTGTATCCAAAATTTCTGTTGGGATCCGCGCCTTATTGTTGTAATTCAGATTTTATTCATATTTATTTGAATTAAAATAATATTATTTCAAACATACCATAACATCCCGATCCCGACGGTTGTCGTGTTTTCCTCCACAACCGGCTGTTTGTATGCGTGTATTCATACCTATATTCACGCATATAATTATGATTACAAATACCAGACATTGTATTAAATATTTCAATACCCGTCGACGTTAAGGACCGGAAGAATGTAAAAATCAAAAGTTTCTAATAAATCTGTAACATCGGAATCGGTTCCGTATTTCTGGACCAACTCTTGGGCAAAGAACTGAACGGTTGCGGGAGATATCCATTCTCGGGCGTGAATTCCAGCCTCCATAAAGATGATCGGCTTATTCTTGTTTTGTTGTCCAACTCCTATACGAATCAGTTTTAAGTCTCGTTCTTCATGCGAGAGCCCAACGCTTTCAACGCCCGCTATATTTGGATATTGAGCTGTAATCGCATCCAAAAAGGCATGAATTTTGGCCAATCTTTGGTAGTCATCGAAATGTTTGTCCACAACATCTGCTGCGGTGTCGATATTGCTTAACGAATGGTATGGTTTGCGCTCTTCTTCAAAAACTCTGAAAATTGCAGTTATATTTTGATTAATACATATATTTTGAAATATTTAATGATTGAAATACTTTTCTAAGTCATTAATTATAATAGATTTTTGCGAAAATCGTTTGCTAAATATTCTATCAAAAGTTTGGTTAAGTTGTGGCGGAATCATCACATCGACAGGTCTGCCCACATATGACGGACCCCTCCAGAAGTCGAGCTGAGAAACAAATGAATTGTGAATTCCGTGCCATAAACTCAATCAACGCTTACCTCTAAAACATTTTCTTCCAATTGTCGCAAATATCTGAGCTGTGATTCAGTGGTCGGTACCAAACGGACCACAGAATACCCGTCGTAATGATCAATGCCTTCATTACCATTGACACCAATGCGTACAGCAATTGCCAAAAATGACAAAATTAATAAATTAAAAGCCATTTTTACAAATCTCTGTACAATTGTTTAAAAGATCATTATGGTTTTGATTCAAAGCTTATAGTTTATATAGACATTGAAATAGAAGTCTAATAAATTATTATTTGTGCCGAAATAATAGTTTATTGACTGTAATAATCAAAACGAGAAAATTCATTTATAATTTATGAAAATGATCTGAAATGTCAACTCATTTTTATCCGGAATATAAATCTTAAAAAACTAAGCACTTGTTGTTTCAGCAGTTCTACCGGCACTACAACTCGTAAGTATAAATCCTAATAAAATTTTTGAATATAAATCAATTTATCACTTATCCTACTCTTAATTACCTTAAAATACAAATAAATGCATAGAAGTGTTGTTTAATGTAACAAAAATTTTTCGTGATTTTAGAAATTCATTGATTTATGAAATAATGTCACGTTAAAAGTTACGTTGTTCGATCTATATCATTTGTGTGACAATTATATTGTTTTATATTTGTTGTGAAATACGGTTTATATGTGCAAAAAACATTGTTATAAATTAAATCCAATAATGTAATTAAAAGTAGAGAAATATTTATGGCAATTATCATCTGAAGAATCATAAGTTTTAGTAAATAGTTGAGAAAAAGGCATATGAATTGTGGTGTTATCAGTGCTAAAGCCTTATCATGAGTTTCTATGTATGGGGTTATTGTGGTTGTGATATAGAAATTAATGTAGTGTTCAAATGATAACCTATTCATTCGATTACAAGTTTTGTAACAAATCCCTCATAATATTGAACAAAAAAAGAGAAATAAAAGACATAACAGTATTGAAACCAAGAATAAAGTTTAGCCGAGAGATGAGATACATGTATGTACTTTACTGCGAGAAATATGCAATGAATAAAAAACTAAATGAGTATTTAATGCCTGAATTCAATGAAATTTATGAGCGATAAGAGGAGGAAATATTTGATGCATTAATTGAAGACTCATTTCCTAATTTGAGAAAAAAGAAAATTTTTCACTTTTCTTTCCATTCATATGATATGAATGTATGCCTTGAATGCATGAATCGATTAATTTTCTATACTTTTCAATAGGTTTGCCACTAATTATAAGGTTGTACTCACTCTTCAAAGAGAGTGTGGTTTAAGTTTGCAGTGAATTACGTAAACCTTAACTCAATTCACAACTCATTCGTTAGCTTTAATTTAATTCAATTATATTTGATTAAAATAAAAACAAAATTAACACACATTTTGATTGCAATAAAACATGTTTTTTGGGGCCACAAATTGGGCACTAAATTGAGTGCCGATTGAAAGCACTGAACGTTAGGACAAAGTATTGAATAATTTGTTGTAATTTATTGTTTGGAAAATCGGTTTTTAAAACAAATGATAAAAAGACAATATTTTTTGTCATTTAATTGAATTTATTTTTTATTTTCAATTAATTGTAATTCAATTGAAATCCAAAACAAATAATTGATTTATAAATTGATTGTTAGAAAGCATTGAAAGGAAAGGCAAATAGTATTGAATTTATTGTTGATTTTTTGGTCAAAGTTGTTGTTGTTTTCATTCAAACCCGAAACCAATTATCATTGGATTGTCTTCAATGGCGAGAACCGCTGAAGAGGTGAAGACATTGGCCAACGAGTACTTCAACCGCAAAGAGTACGACAGAGCCATCGAGTAATTTTCTATACTTTTCAATAGGTTTGCCACTAATTATAAGGTTGTACTCACTCTTCAAAGAGAGTGTGGTTTAAGTTTGCAGTGAATTACGTAAACCTTAACTCAATTCACAACTCATTCGTTAGCATTAATTTAATTCAATTATATTTCATTAAAATTAAAACAAAATTTACACACATTTTGATTGCAATAAAACATGTTTTTTGGGCCACAAATTGGGCACTAAATTGAGTGCCGATTGAAAAGCACTGAACGTTAGGACAAAGTATTGAATAATTTGTTGTAATTTATTGTTTGGAAAATCGGTTTTTAAAACCAATGATAAAAAGACAATATTTTTTGTCATTTAATTGAATTTATTTTTTATTTACAATTAATTGTAATTCAATTGAAATCCAAAACAAATAATTGATTTATTAATTGATTGTTAGAAAGCATTGAAAGGCAAATAGTATTGAATTTATTGTTGATTTTTTGGTCAAAGATTAACAACAAAAGTAAGTTTGGGCTTTGGTTAATAGTAACCTAACAGAAGTTACCGCTCTTGGCGACTTCTCCACTTCTGTAACCGGTTGCTCATGAAGTTGGCGTTTCTCATGCTGTCTCGGTAGCTCTTGTACACCGAAGCCATCGAATTGGACGCAACGATTGCCACCTATTATGGGAACCGATCCATCGCTATGGAGTTCTTCCTCAAGATGCCGATGCGCAACTGGCTGCGGAGGTTTCGGTAGCTAAACCTGTTCTTAATGTAGTTTCCGATGATGTCTGCTCGCCGGCGAGTCTACCGAGAGTTGGCTAAGTTTGTAGCCGTCAAAGACTTGGAGACTGTCGTCAAATACAAGCCCAACGATACCGACGCCAAGAATAAGTACAACGAGTGCCTGAAGATTGTCAAGCGATTGGCTTTCGAGAGAGCGATAGCCGTGGATGAGGTGAAGAAATCGGTGTCCGAATCCATTGACTTGGAGTCGATGTCCATTAGCGACGACTACGACGGACCACAGCTGACGGACGGAAAGGTTACCAAAGAGTTTATGATAGAACTGATGGACTACTTCCGCGATCGACAGAAACTGCACCGCAAATACGCCTATAAAATGATATTAGATGTGAGACAACTGTTCGCCAAAGATGACACTTTGGTGGACATCCGCATCGAGTCGGACCAGAAGTTCACGGTTTGCGGTGACATTCACGGCCAGTTCTACGACCTCTTGAATATATTCAAACTCAACGGACTTCCCAATGAAGACAATCCCTACTTATTCAACGGTGATTTCGTGGAC